AGGCTAATCCATAGGAAGGGAGCCATCCGTGAGAAGTCCTGCAAGCGCGAGTTGGCTGTACGTGTGCGAGCAGTGGATAGGAGAAGGTCATAGGCAGAGTGTAAAGACCGAGAATGGGTATACCTATGAATCAGTGAAGAGATGTAGGAGGGGCTAGAATTGTTCAATTCTTTATAGATATGGATTAGTACTTTGAATTGACTCCTATAGGATACAGGAAGCCAATGTAAAGAATGAAAGGGGGTGAGGTGTGAGAGGACCAACTGGAGAGGAAAATCAGTCTGGCAGTAGCATTTATTACAGGCTATAGTGGGGCAATACGGCTTTTGGGAAGACCAATTAGGAGAGGGTTACAATAATCCACGAGATTACTAGAGCATGGACAGGTTCCTCAGTAGTATCTTGTGTAAGAAAGGAGCGGATGGGGGCTATGTTTTTAAGGTGGAATCTACAGGATTTGGTAACAGACTGGATGTGAAACTCAAAGGTGACGCCAGAATCAAGCATAACACCAAGATAGCTTGCTTGCAAGGATGGACTGATGTCGGTACCACTTACTTGAAGGGAGAGCGAAAGGGGAGGATCCGTATTAGGAGGAGGAAAGACAAGGATCTCAGTTTTAGAGAGACTGTGTTTCAGAAAGCAGCAGGAGAACCAGTCAGATATGGAAGAAAGGCAAGCAGTGACACATTGCAGGACAGCAGGGGAGAGATCTATCTGGGTGTCATCGGCATACAGGCGGTAGTGGAATTCAAATGAGGTGATAAGTTTGCCAAGAGAGGCAGTGTAAAGAGAAACTAGAAGGGGACCAAGGACAGAGCATTGGGGGACTCCAACCGAGACAGGATGAAGGGAGGAGGTATCATTAGAGAAGGAGACACTGAATGAGCGTTGGGAGAGATAGGAGGAAAACCATGAGAGGACAGTGTCACAGAGACTGAGTGATTGAAGAGTTTGAAGAAGGAGAACATGATCAACAGTGCCAAAGGCAGCAGAGAGGTCAAGAAGAATTAGTATGGTGTAGTGGCCTTTGGATTTAGCTGTGATTAGGTCAATAGTAACTTTGATAACAGCAGTCTCAGTAGAGTGGAGGGGGTGGAAGCCAGACTAAAGAGGGTCAAGGAGAAAGCTGTAATTGAGAAAGTCAGCCAGACAGGTAAAGGCAAGTCTTTCCAGAAGCTTTGAGGAAAAAGGGAGCAGGGATTTGGGACCATAGTTAGAAGCGGAGGACGGATAAAAATGAATGTCGTTCAAGGAGAACGCAAAAAAGAGGTCAGCCCACATTACTGCAGAGAGCACAGCTTTTAAATTCCCTACACAGAGACATCAAAACAAAAGAGGACCATCTCACATTTAGGAGAAAAGTAAAGACATGACTTCTAGGTAAATATACACAAGATTTGCCCTGTTTATGCTTTATATTAATTATTGCCCAACGGTGAAAGCAGTGAGATCATGTTACAGTTTCAAATTCTTTTTGCTTTGAACTTTACGAAATGAGCTATCATTTTGATATTGGTTGATATATGTAGAAGGAAGCATTATTTGCTAACCCCAAAAGAAAGAAAAAACAATTAGATTAAAAGATTACTAATACCAGTGCTTAATAATGTAATCTAAGCTGACATGACTATTACCATCGCCTACCCCTAATAATCTAAAATATATGGGTTAGCGTGGCTAATCCCTAACCTCCATACTCCATGTAATATATATATCCATGTAGATCGGATAAAAATCATATTCTATTTGTCTCTCAGTAAGATATGGTTGTGTCTTATGAGCTAATTGAACTGGGTCGCTAAAAATGATGACCCTATGCTGAAAATGTAGAAAACTAGAAAGAACAACCTGCAACTTCCACCAACAGTTTAACTCCTAACTAAGGGATGTAAAGAATATGGACATGCTCAATGCATCCACCTACCAAATAAGGACTGTTCCTACATAGTACTAACACATCGAAGGACATTTTACAATAGGTAATAGCTTAAAGGACCACTCTAGGCACCCAGACCACTTCAGCTTAATGAAGTGGTCTGGGTGCCAGGTCCATCTAGGATTAACCCATTTTTTTTATAAACATAGTTTCAGAGAAACTGCTATGCTTATAAATGGGTTAATCCAGCCTCTAAAGCCTCTAGTGGCTGTCTCATTGACAGCCGCTAGAGGCGTTTGCGTGCTTCTCACTGTGAAAATCACAGTGAGAAGACGCAAGCGTCCATAGGAAAGCATTATGAATGCTTTCCTATGAGACCGGCTGAATGCGCGCGCATCTCTTGCCGCGCGTGTGCATTCAGCCGAAGGGGAGCATCGGAGGCGGAGAGGAGGAGGAGAGCTCCCCGCCTGGCGCTGTAAAAAAGGTATGTTTTAACCCTTTCCTCTCCCCAGAGCCGGGCGGGAGGGGGACCCTGAGGGTAGGGGCACCATCAGGGCACTATAGTGCCAGGAAAACGAGTATGTTTTCCTGGCACTATAGTGGTCCTTTAACCTGAGAGCATGCAGGCTCAAAACTGATAATTGGCCAAGAGTCTGCTGATGATCAAAAACCAACACCACCAGGATGACAGTTGATGTCCTAGAGTTGATGATACACGCACTGAAGATGACATTTACCTTGCTTTCTCTGTCTCTATCTGCATACAATTATTATGATTGCACCAACATATTCTGCAGCACTCTGCAATAGTTAAAACAAACAATAAATTCTAACAAAAACAATAATATTATCTAAAAGGATGACAGACAAATACACAGAGTGAGATGAAGGAATCAAATGATCTGCAAATACCTGACCGCATGGGAGATGTTTTTGAAAGGAGAAAGCAGAGAAGATGTGAGACGGCAGGGAATGGGTTGAGGAGATAAGGGGTGAGTTTATAAGTTACTTTAAAGAAGCATGATTTTTTTATTTTTTATTAAAGGACTACAAAGATAGGCAACCCCGAGACAAATGTGACATAGGAGGTCTTTCCTTAAGGAAGGGGTGCCCTGTAGAAGCCCTGCAGGAGAGATGGACTAATAACAGGCCGTTGGTGGAAAAAAAGAGGAAAAGCTGGACTATATCTGATAATGAGGGAGGGGATGTAAGCAGGTGCTTACAGGGAAGCAGGAGAACTTGAAACCCGGGCTTGACTAGGACAGAAATTTGGCAGAGCATCCCAAAATGAGGGAGGCAAAAGAAGTGGTGTGGTGTTTCATCACCAGTAATACACACATCACCCCATAGTCGGCATGACAGTTTGATGTCCCTCTGGGGCAACTCACTCACAGAGCCCTGCTGAAGAACTCTCACAGGGAAAATACCCAGTCTTTGTTTAGCCCAGTGCAAGTGAAGTTCTGCATTTGTGTCTGTGGGGGTTAGGAGCTGTAGTGTATGTGCAACGAGATATGGGCTGTAATATGTGGGGATGTAAAGGGCTGTAGTATGTGGGGGATAATTGCTGAAATGTGTGGGGAGACAGGGGAATGTATAGGCTGTAGTGTGTGGGATAGGGGCTGTAGTATGAGAGGGTAATAAGGGGTTTTAATATGTGGGGTATAGGATCTAAAGTATGTGGGGAGAAGGTGGCAATCAAATGGTTTGCCCAATGGCCAGATTAGGCCTGCTTCAAAGTGAATCATAAATTAAACAAGAAATCAACTTGGACATTGACAGAGGGGTGTTATGTGAGAATTGCTCAACATAAGGTATATAAGCTTCGTAGACAAGTTCAGTATGAACTGTAGAGGGGCAATCAAAGAGCACACCAAGAAAATTAAATGTCAGTTGCCACATCTCTGGCCATTTTTCTAGTTTACCTAAACCATTTGTCATTTGGCTTATCCCTCCTGGAACATCAACCCTATACACAATAAGATGCTCACACACTTCCTTAAACAACCAAGTTCCACGCACATAGATGCTCGCACAGTCACATATACCTAATCATCCTTACATACATGAGTCACACTCAGGTGCCCATATACATAGATGTCCAAGCACACACATTGATGTTCATATGCACATAGAAACTCACACAATATGGTATTTTATTCTTTATCAAGGTATATTATGCATGTTTTGTGTATGTGTGTCTACATTTGTGTGATTTGAGGGAGTAGTATATACACTACTTGCTGTGCAGTTTTGCATTTAAACGTTTTGCATCTGATTTAATTTATTTTATGGCCCCAACAAAGATCAATACCTTGTATATGTTCCTCTCAAGAGAGGGCTCTGTCACCAGTTCAAACATCTCAGCAATGGTATGTCTGGACCTAACATTATCTGAAGTCCATGGCGTGCATAGGAATTCACAACACCCAATAATAATTGAAATCACCTGAATAGGTGTGGGAGTCAGTTACCTCCTGTAGTATCAAGCGTATCTGTTTTCAGGAAATTAAACAAGTTACCCTTTTCAGTTATACCTCTATCAGCAACTGTACCAGTTAATCCTTGTTACTGCTATATATTCTGAAATAAACAGGACTTCCGATTCATCACAGCGGCAGAGGTTCTAAGTACTTATATAACTGCACAGCTTCAGCCTTCAAACAACATGTCTAGACGAGAAGATTTTATTTCACTGGAATAATCAGAGCAAGGGCGATGTCTGCTTTATATTTAGATGTGCTGATCTGGGAACCCTTTCACAAACTGTCTTCATTACAGTTTCTGTATACAATATTTTAAGGGTCTTTCAGAGAACCATAACAACAACAATGAGGTATGGTGCAAGAAGGTCCCCTATTAGCATGTCCTTGCACACAGCTGCTTATAGTAAGCCCAGCCCTAAGTAAGATGCTACAGGTGAAGCCAATTGCCCTTGCATTGCATGTGTACTACAACACACCCAAACACCAATTAGTTTTTCAGATCCTAAATGCAGATTTCTTGGCAATGTCATGCTATGCTAAAAAAACACAATTTGCTGTGCCAATACATGAAGTATGATGCAAAGGGTCAGTGGCTTGAGCTTATTTGAATATTCAGCATAGGATTCTGGGAGAAATGAGGGTGCACTCCTGTGTAAAAGGGGCTGAACATTTGCCTTAGGAAATATGAGCAATGCAAGCTTTAGTATTTACTGGGATTAATAAGAGTTTTTGTTACTTTTTGAGCTCACCACAACTTTAATAACGCTCAGTTAAGTATATATATGCTTCCCTTGTATTGATATTCCGATAAAATTCTACATATTTTGAGCACAACACTATTATAGAGCTACTTCAATACATTCAATGTTACTCTTTAAGTTCCTGAGTGCCAAAACTGAAAGCAATACTTTGTCCTGCCATTCTAATACCCATTCAAAAAGCTTAACAATGCTACACTGAAAAACCACAATAGCAAAATCAAACAATTCACCCTTTCTCTCCAATATACACAGCATCACACAACAACCAATACATAGTATGTTTTAACGGCTAACCGAGGATATACAGTAGTTTAATCAGCTTACCAAGCAACTGAAAACAGCACTCTGCTCATTTCCTGAAATAAGCAAAGAAAAATCAGAGGGGTGTGCTCACTGAACAATATAATTATGTTATTACTAACCAGGAAGTAAATAATGTGTCTGCGTGAGTCTACTTAGTTACTTAATCTCTTGCAATAAAGTTCATCACAAATGTAACGCTGAATTTAAAAACTGTATAGTTTTCATACTAAAATTCCTTTTTGTCCCCCAGCTTTCATAAAATGGTATGCTCCTAAAGCTTAGCATGCTGTTTAAATACACTGTAGTTAAAATCAGAATGGCAGATATGATTGAGGCTCACAGGAAAACATAATCTTTCAGCAGACTGACAGTGTTTATATTTACATAGTAACGTTTGCATTACAATTGGGAATGATATAGTCATAATAATCGGTAAGTTATAACAGAGTCACAGAGTATGCTATAGATTGTAACAAAACACAATTTGTGTCAATTTGCAGTAACCTTGGATTCAGGGGGAGTCCACACTTAACCCCTTAAGGACACATGACATGTGTGACATGTCATGATTCCCTTTTATTCCAGAACTTTGGTCCTTAAGGGGTTAAAGGGATTCTATAGTAAGGCCCCGACTGGGAACTAAAAAAGGGATTCTATAGTAAGGCCCGGACTGGGAACTAAAAAAGAGCCCTGGAAAAATATTCTTTACCAGCCCCATAATGCTTTGCACCAGCATAGTGTGCTGATACAGAGTTAGAAAAGATAACTTTAATATTTCTCAGATGAGAACCCTGACAGTTAGGGGGCAGTGTGTGTGAGAGCTGCAGTGAATGTGTGTATGGGGGGGGCAGTGAATGTGTGTATGGGGGGGCAGTGAATGTGTGTATGGGGGCAGTGAATGTGTGTGTATAGGGGGCAGTGAATGTGTGTATGGGGGCAGTGAATGTGTGTATAGGTGGGGCAGTGAATGTGTGTACAGGTAGGGCAGTGAATGTGTGTATGGGGGGCAGTGAATGTGTGTGTGTATGGGGGCAGTGAATGTGTGTATGGGGGCAGTGGATGTGTGTATAGGGGCAGTGTGGGGGAGGCAGTGTGTGTGTGTAAGGGGGCAGTGGGTGTGTATGTGTGGGGGCAGAGTATGTATGTGGGGGCAGAGAGTGTGTTGGGGGGCAGAGTGTGTGTGTGTGGGGGGCAGAGTGTGTGTGTGTGTGGGGGCCTTGTGGGGTGGCAGTGAATGTGTGAGTGTGTGGGGGGCAGTGTGTGTGGGGAGGCAGGGAATGTGTGTGTGTGTGGGGGCAGTGAATATGTGTGTGTGTGGGGGCAGGGAATGTGTGTGTGTGGGGGGCAGTGAATGCGTGTGTGGGGGGGCAGTGAATGTGTGTGTGTGGGGGGCAGTGTGTGTTTGTGGGGGGGAGGCAGTGATTGTGTGTGTGTGTGGGGGGCAGTGATTGTGTGTGTGTGTGTGTGTGTGAGGGGGGCATGTAAAAGGTTAAAAACACTTTATTTACTCACCAGATTCCAGCATTCGTGACTCTTGGCACTGGGTTGGCATGCCACCTACTCCTTCAACATCATTAAGGGCCTAATGCGAATGAGTGGCGAGCGTTGTGAGTGCATTAGGCACACCTCAATGCTTTCCTAAGGGGATTTCACTGATGCTGGATATCATTATGCAGAGCGCGAGGACATCCAGTGTCAGTTAGGAGACCTGGAGTCCATTAAACTCACGAAAGCACCTCTAGTGGCTGTCTGGTATGCTTTATATTGCAGGACTGAAGGGGGCACGGACAATGCACCAAAACCACTTCAATGAGCTGAAGGGGTCTATGTGCTTATAGTGTCCTTTTAAAGGCATTTTTTTAAATTACTATTTAGTAGATATACCTACAAAGAATACATGCATGTTTCCATTAAAGGAATATCTTAAAAGAGCTTGCAAAAGCTATGCAAGCCCTCCCCTTTTCCCCCAGAAAAGACTTTCACTCACTTCATGGGGAATAATCTACTACAGGCTTCTCATTGAGAAGCCTCAACGCTATCCCTCCATATACTTGCAAACATCAGAAAAAACTCTGTTAAATAGAGTATATCTGATAGCTCCATTAGCTCAGGAGAAGCAGGAAGCAAACTTTAAACAGCCAGGGGGTATCCTATTTTAACCCCAGGTTATAAAAATCTGCACTTTTCTATTTCAATTATAGAACGCCCCTCTGACAGTCAATTCGCTACGTCTTTCTGTTCGCTCAGATTTCAAAAGAATTTGGCACTTTTATAAATTACCCTTGTTACATTTCCTGGCTGTCAGTCATCACTGTTAATTCCTTCTTGTTTAGCTCAGTGGAGCAAAACTCAAGAGGTGCGCAATTGAACAGAGCATTTGCAGAACATTTGCATTGCAAAGGCTTTTCATTGGGAAGACTGTAACTGGGCAGTCACAGAAAGTCTGGTTAGTATTAAAAAAGGAGGTTGTGCAAAGACTTCAGACAAGAGATCTGAAGCTTTTGCAAACTGTTTTCAGATGTGCCCCTAAATAAACAAAAATGTATAAATAAATGCATGCATATTTTCATTGGGTGTACATTTACTAAACAGTGATTTCTATTTTTTTTTTTTTTTTTTGCATGGGCAGTAGAGTGTCCCTTTAAAATGAAAAGTGCTGATTTCTCATAGAAATTGACACTTATATAAAGTGCCTTTTAAATGGAATACTCCTTGCCCAACAAGCACTTCAACAAGCTAGAGTGCTTTGTGGATGTGGAGTGGTCCTTTACCTGCACATGGAACAAAAGTATTCAGATCCTCGACAAATTATCATATTTTACTGAAAAACAGTCTCTATATTGGACTCTTGCCTTCTAAAACCATATAAACTAAAAATTATATATTTTAAGGTGACATTGCCTAGAAGTCGAAAATATTTTGTTGGAAAAAAGAAAATAAACAGTTTGCAAATATATTCAAAATTTTAATCCCGGTGCATATTTACTTAGCAAAAAGCAAGTAAATTATAATTTTTTGAATGTACGTAGTACTATGTATTCAGTCATGATTTTCTTTAAATACACAGCTTGGTATATGTCTAGATCCAGATTCCTGTGAGAAATTGTAGCAATAGTTCTAACTCTCCTAGTTATGTCTTAGCGTACTCCAGTTATTATATGCATGTGTGTTCCTCTGCCTCATTAGCCATCGATCTGGGCTTTCCCCAGGCATCACTATAATAACTAAAACATGGCACACCCATGACCTTATGCTATTTACTTACATCCATGATGAATGGGTATCTAACACTTACTTTAAATAAATCTCTATGGTTCACCAGAATGCCTGCTACCCATATCACAATTGGACATGTTCACATCACTGTATGCCATACAATTTGTCTTAAAAATTCAATTTAGCTGAATTAAACAGAAGAAACGAACTGCATAAAAATCCAGAGCATTACATTGCTTTCCAGCAATAATTCAACATGCCACTTACAGACAAAGATATATCTGGCAATTTTTGGCCTGTCTTGGTACCACCATCTGTCTATGTCAAGTGCACAACTGACCGTGTTATAACCCTTGATTGTCACTGCAGGCTCCAATGTAGTTCTGCAAATGTGGATCATTGACCTTCAGGAAGCTTTATTCACTCACCTCAAATTTTATACAAAATGTTTCTGCTCATCTTATACCGCTTCACTACGCCACAAGCAATTCACCACATTGTCAGGCTATCAAGAATAGCACTTACACGTCTTATATTGAGTCATGATATCATCCTGTGATGAGAGTCTGGTAAGAAATCGACTAACCTTGTTATTTATTAAATTCTACTAAATTGTCTTGATTTTCCCTTAAAACAGATTATCTGGAAAAAAAACTCAATTTATTTTTATTGAAAAATTGAGGACACTTACACTATATCTGGTGTCCAATATATAGTATAACCTATTTTTGACTAAGTATGTGGTGAAGGTTATGCTTGATTTCAAAAGTATTGCTGTGACATTAGATCTTCAGGAGAATACCTGAATAACCACTGGATGTATCTGTAAAAACATAAAATAATCTCATAAAGTGTATCATTGTGTGAGGGGGGACCACTGATTAGGGTCCTGAAAATCCCTCTGTCTAATGTTGTCACTGTTTCTGTGTTAGTCTCAAGTCTTGCGTAATATTGAGAAAGAAATTAAAACCTCACATGTATAATTTTGTGATACTGCCACTTTAATGCACCATATTTGAATTAATTACACAGCACAGTGTATGTGTATTGCTTTGGGTGCAGGATTTTGATGTAGTGGGTTGAAGGGTTAATAAAAAATTGCTAGTGGTTAATACAGCATGTGTGGGGTTTACAATTATAGGTTTATGTAAAACTCTGAGTTTTGTCAAAATGTGATTTATAAAATACATTATAGTTTATGGTTAGACTTGGGGCATTTTATAGGACTGGTTTTAGGTAAATTAATAATTGCAGGAGGGGTCATGTAATATACTCTTGGCCTGAAGACCCTGTTATTTTGCTGTCTATAAAATCCCTAGGGTGGAATCAGTGGTGTATTTTGAATTAATGCTGCCCTAGGCATGATGGAACTCGGCACCCCCTAATTTAAATTTGCTCCACCCCTTCCTGTCAAGGCCACACCTGTTAAAGACTAACACACACTTTGACTGACATACTCACTCACTCACCGGCACACACTCTCAGATACACTGACATACACTCACTGGCAGACACACATACGTACACTCACTGAGACTCAGACATGCACTGACACATGCAGCAGCGCTGTATTTAGCGCAAGGCAAACAAGGCATT